TCCTCTAACTAAATTTATTTACATAAATTGAGTGCATAAAATATTTTGATAATAATATTTAATTTTAATAATCAAAACTCTCAAAAGTAAAATAGCTTTCAATTTAAGTATAATTTTAAATTAAACAAAAGCTTATTATATAAATATGAATTTTAAAATTCAATCTTGTTTGGAAATAAACAAAATAGCCAAATAATTATTATAATCATAACTAAAGTTAAAGACGATGTTATTTATATTTTTATCATTAGTCAATTTTATAAATTTTACTCTAAAATATTCGACTCAAATAATGAATCTAAAATTTCGAATATTCAAAATATATTTTAATTAAAAAATTTTTTTTCTATTTTAATGAAAATTTTTAAAAAAATAACTTATTCTTTTTGGTTATTAAGTTTTAAGAATGCAGATTTAAGTTTGATAAACAAAGATTGCTTCTTATTAGAAAAAATTAAATTCAAAATTAACATTAAATTGCTAAATTAAAATAAAATTATCAATCTTCAGTGCTAAATTTAAAATTTACAAATTTTACAAGTTTAAGAAAATAAAAAATATTATTAATTATTATTGAAATAGAAAAAAGCTTTTTAGAAAAATTATAGGATTTGTTAATTAAAGAAAGATATATATTTTAATTTAATTTAATTTAAAATCATATAATTTTATTTAAAAGTTAATAATTTACTAATTAATAGATAATAAATATTTTTAGTGTAGCTTTAAAAAGTATTTGATTTTCAAAAGTTTTCAGTCTTGTTTTATAAAATTAAACACCAACTATATGAATCTTAAAATCTATTTAAATAAATTATGTATTTTGAAATTGGTTAAAATGCTTTTATCAATCTGAAAAAAATTTTATAATTTTTTCCTCAATGAATTGTAAATAATTTATCTATCCAATAAAAACTTTTAAAACAAATCAAAGAATCATTCAGCAATAGATAATATACAAATTTTATTATCTCATCGAAAAAAACCTCTATAAACAACAACAAAAACTAAAAAATAATTAAATAATAATCAAACTAATTTTATTTCTATCATTCTACTAAAATATTACATCAATATAACTGCATTATAACTAAATAAAATTAAAATGTCAATTTTAGTCTCTATCTATTTTTATATAGTTTATTTGACCTAATCTCTTAATTAACTAGGTAATGATTTTTGAAACGCGCGTTTAATTTCTTATTTCTTACTTATAAACTATATAATTAAATATACTATCCAATAATTATTTCTATAATAAATAAAAACAACATATTGAGTCTCTAAAGAGTATTCAAGTTTAGTATTTAAAAGATAACAGAACAGAAATATAATAATAATTTAAATTCTAAAAATAAAAATTTGTGTTAATCTATTTTTAATATCTCACAATTACTTGTTGGAGCAAACATTATTATCTAAATATTAAAATAATAATTAATTCAAATATTATAATCTATAG